ACAAAGCGCTGGAGAGTTCTGAAATGGCCAGCAATGAGTCCAGATCTGAATCCCGTAGAACACCTGTGGAGAGATCTCAAAACAGCAGTCGGGAGAAGGCATCCTTCAAATCTAAAGGCCCTGGAGCAGCTTGCAAAAGAAGAGTGGTCCAAAATTCCAGTAGAGAGGTGTAAGAAACTCATTCATAGTTACAGGAAACGATTGATTTCAGTTATTTTTTCCAAAGGAGGTGCTACCAAATAATTTTGTCCAGTGCATTTTGAGGTTTCTGTGTGGGACTCTATCTACTCTGTGTGTGCGTGTGTGCGTGTGTGTTGTTCCAATGCAAACCAAAGAAATGAACATGTGAGTATCACAACATTTGCAACTGCAACAATTTTGGACAGAAAGGTTGCATTTTCTGACAGAATTGCAAGGGTGCCAATATTTTTGGCCATGACTGTATGGAAGAACATGTGCCTGGTTTAACTCCAAACATCTGAACAGCATTTGGCTGCCCATTCCAGCAGTTTCATATTGGCCTGAATACTTTTAATCAAAGATACATTGATAAAAAGCAATGAAAATCAAATGTAAAGATTTTCTTTTTATAACTAAATCCAAATGTTTACATATTCAAGCTATACAGTGCTCCTTAAAAACAACTTAATTTAAAATACTATCTCGAATATATACATATACCAAACATTTAAAATTGAAACAATGACCATCCCATCAAATACATGAAGACCTGCCATTCTGTAAAGAATGAACTTGAGACAACTATTTTCATTCATTCATTTTTATTTTTGTACCCCACCTTTCATCCCAGGGGAACTGAAGACAGCTTACCATATTAATAAAATGAATGAACTGTGTTTTCCTTTTGAAACATTATGTCATTATAAATATGACATTATAAATATTGGAAAAAAGAGATATATGATCTGACTGTCCCAAGCTAGGCAATGGCTTCGTCTTATATCCATGTATGATGTTACTATATACCTGATCCAAGGTATTTTCCCCTCTAGTGGGACAGTCCACATACTGATAAAAGTTAGGGAGGACGGTCTTTAAATTGGCTTGATTGAAATCACCTGCTACCACCAGCACTCCATCTGGGTAGGCCTGCTGCTGTTTGCTGATAGCAGTTAACAAACAACTCAAAGCTGTGGTTGTGTTAGCATCAGGAGGTATATATACTGCTGTTATTATAATAACATTAAACTCACGAGGCAGGTAAAAGGGGCGGCATTTCACTGCCAAATACTCCAAATCAGGAGAACAGTGAATGTCCAGTATTTTAACATCTGTGCTCCAATTATCGTTTGTGTAAACACAAACCCCTCCACCTCTGCTCTTCCCAGATTCAACAGATCTGTCTGCTCGATGTACTCTGCGTCCTTGTAGTTCAATTACCTCCCCTGGGATGGAAGAGTCAAGCCATGTCTCTGTAAAGATCATAACGCAACAGTCTCGAATATTTTTCTGTAGGGAGATAGTAAGTTCCAGCTCCTCAATCTTGTTGGGTAGAGATCTAACATTTGAGACAAAAAGACTTGGCAATGCAGGCTTGTGAGGATTTTTGCCTAACCTCACTCGTAGACCGGCCCTGCAACCTCTTTTCTGCTTGCGTTTTCTCCGTGCTCTTTTCTTCCTGACAGGGAGAGCAGGGGGAGTAACCCCCGGATATGCAGGCTGTCTTAAAAGCTCAGCTGGGATGTTGTAAGTTGAGACCGTCGATTCAAAGTTGTAACCTTCTCTGCCAATAGATAATAATTCTTGTCGACTGTAAATTACTTGTGCCTGAGCATGTAGAGTCTGTAATAAGGGCCGATCTCTGGAATGCCTAGCCGCTGCAAGTGCTTGCGCCGCCATCTTGACCAAATGAAATCTGATTTTCACAACTGCCCTCCCAAAGAGATTTGGTACTGCCAAAGGTACAAGGGATACATGACCTGAGGTTCTGGATTACAGTTGTGGATAATTATAACTTGAGGGCAGCAGGTTGCTATGGTTGCTATTCTTATACTGGAACTCTGAGACCCAGGAAATTGAGTCTGGTAGCTGGGGGAGGGGGATAGACCGAAATGGAAGTACAGTGGTGCCTCGCTTAACGAGTGCACCGTATAACGACGAAATCGCATATAGCGATCCGTTTTTTTGGATCGCTAATGCGATCGCTTACCAATGGCCCCTGTGGCCGAAAATCGCTTTGCGAAGATCAGTAAGCGTTTCGCTTACCGATCTTCGCAAAACGAAGCCCCGACGATCAGCTGTTCGGCGGACAAAATGGCCGCCGGAAGCCCCAAAATGGCCACGCGCAGCGTTTTCGCGCCCTGCCCTTGCTTACCGAGGGTGCGAAAATGGCTGCCGGACCAGAATGCATCGCTGAACTGTGAGTTTTTGCCCATTTGGAACGCATTAAACAATGTTTAATGCGTTCCAATGGGCTTTCCCGTCCTGCTCAGCGATGTTTCGCCATAGCGAAGGTTAATCCGGAACAGATTAACCTCGCTATGCGAGGCACCACTGTATTTAGTATTAAGATGCCTCTGAGTTCCTGAATTCATCCCAGGAATTCACTTCAATACCAGAAGTGGACTCACAAGTCCTTTTATATAAGAATACACTCTTGCTTTCTTCTTAGTCTTTCTTCATTTCAGCAGACAAATATGGGGCAGGGTGGGGAACTTAAAATAGCAATAACCATTACAGAAGTTCATGATCATCATCATCTTAGGTCTGCAGAGCTGAGAGAGACTGTAACTGGCACACTACTTGGGTGTTGTCTTTAGCAGAATACAGAGGAAATTTGCAGTCTTCAATATATTACTATACTGCAATTCCTATTAGGCCTAGACAGCATAGCAAATAGGAAAGTTTCATGAAATTTGCCATCTAGCAACATCTGGAGGGCTACAAATTGCACATCCATCTTACACAAAAATAATAATAACCTCCAAACTGCAGAGCAGAAAGGCACACTGTCCATCATTGACTCCATCTCCTATCAAGGAGGCACAGTGGGGAATCAAACTCCCAACCTCTGGCTCTGCAACCAGATGCCTAAACCACTGAGCTATCCAAGCAGTTCATGTTTGGAAACAAATTGGAAGTCTCCCAAACATCTACCAGAAGATCTCAACACATTTTCAACCTCATTCCTGATTTAAAAAAACACATGGAAACACTTCAATTTAAAGTATTTGTTCCTATATATTTATTCTCAAGAGAACCCAAACAGACAGAATACTAGTTTAGTAAATATACAAATTAGAAAGGCAGAAGCATATGTTAGACCAGTGAGTTTAAAAATCTTTATTTCTTTTGGGGACTTAAATCAGAATTAAAAACTATTCAAACAGCTGTATTTAAAAAAATTATTTGGCAGTCTTTTGTAAAAAACTTTTTCAAAATTCAAGTATGTACTATTTCTTCTCATAATATTTACACTAAATAGGATTTTGGCTTTTGTTAAATCAGTGATTTAAAAGTAGGCCTTTTTCCTGGGGGCTTAAATCGAATCAAAAACTATATATGCAAATTTTTGTATAGGTAAGAGATAATCTGGCTACTGTTGCTTATAAATGATAATTCTGTGTTTCACATATTGTGTTTAAGATACTCCAAGACCACAAACAAGAAAATAAGCAGAAGAAAAGTCAATGTACTGGGACCAAAAAGTTTTTAAAGAGAGCACACAGTAGGAAAATGACATTGGACCAAATAAAGGGTGGTGAATCTTTGCTCTTTTGGCTATTGATGAACTACTATCCCAAACAATGCCTTAGTAGTGGCAAGACTGTTTTGAGCTGACAAGGATTAAAGCCACTGTGTCCCACAGCCCCAGCACATACTAACCTGGACATGTCTTTGCTTTAGTAAGGTATCATATCGGTTAGATGTTATCAAAGGTATTGTGGCTCCCTGGTTCTTGCACTCGGATCTTAATCGCTTATCCAACAGCAGGCTGTTGAAAAGGGAGAACTTCATGTAGCTCACAATGTTACAATGTATATTATAAAACACCAAGTTATCTTAAAATGGTATTCTTACCTTCCTGCCATAACCTTGTAGTAGGCAAATATCTGATCTGCCAACTTGTAGACAAACTGGTCAAAGCACAAGTTGACCTGAAGGAAAGCAATGCAGAAATCATTTAACTTACAGAACCTTTATGCAAACACATATCCTCTTTGGAAAACTACTGCTAAAATGCACTGGGAAAACACAGTATGTTTGGCAGTTTGGCACTATAGCCTCTCTTAGGGTGGCACCCGAACACAGAAGACATTGTACCAGTGAACTGAGCATTACAAATGACTATGCACTTAGATCTGTGGCACCCTGTGTATTGCACAAAATTTTTCATGGGAAGTAGCCTTACAATTTATTTGCAGTCTACTCTCTTGGATTATCTTTACGGCAACCTCTTTGTGCTTACTTCAGGCATCAGGCTGCTGCTAAGGGATTTTTAACCACCAGGACTTAAAAGAAAAAGAAAAAACAAGCCAACTAACTTACCTCTGCCTCAATTTCATCATAGAGAAACTGCTTCTTGAATTTAGTAAGGGCATAATGAGCACTGTCATTGTAAAGATCCAAAGAATATAGAACATATCTAAACAACAGAGAAAGAAAATAAGTAAGATGCTTGGCAAATCACTTAATATGTAAATTCAATATTTATAGATTAATTTTGGGGGGGCAAATTAATCCAGCACATTTTTTTTTACAATTGGATGTAAATGTAAAAGTGGTCATGCAAGGAAGAGAGGAAGAGAAGGACCTCCCTTCACTCTTTTTGAGAGTTTTAAGAGTACACATATTAAGCACTTGTAACTATGGGATTCTTTGTAACATATTACAAACAGTGGTATCTAAACTAATCAGATTCTGAATCAATTTTTAATATTGAAGTTGGGCAGGGATTTGCCTACACTGAGTACAATAAACTAGGTGAATCAAAAACCCACAGAAAGATTGGTGGCAGAAGCATTTGACAGGATACACTTAAGGATATGCCAGTAGCTTCTGCCATGGGCCTGACTTATATGTTCTCTGTCTGTTTGTGCTTCCTTGTCACTCTTGAGAGTTTCAAGGAGATAAGGGGGAATGAAAGGGGAGAGCAACAAGTAGAAAAGAGAGGAAAAGAGAGCAACAGGATTCCAGAACCGAAGCTGTAGCTATACAGTAGCAGTGAGAGGTATAATTCTGGACACTGAGCAGACATAGGATCTGAAAAACAGTCTTGAGGAAAAGCACTGCAGTATAAATACAAGTTGGAGAAAGAGGTGTGGACATGAAATGGAGGAACAGCAAACTCTAAGCATCATCTCATTAGTTTTTTCCTTTGAAAGAGGCTCTCAAATTCCACCTTCTGAGACCACAACATTAAGTTTCCAGTCTCACTTCCAGTAGCATTTTCCACATCTACTACAAACTAGAAGTTAATTTAATCTTACTCCATCATTGAAGCCTCCTTGGTCTCTAAGATGTGGTCAGTCAGAATCCACGGCATAGACATCTCAATGGGGAACTGGATTCTTCTGCCCATTGTCAGTTCCAAAAAGAACTCCCGGAACCATAGTTGAGACAAGTCACAGCACTGCTGGAGGGTTTCTTATTACAGAAGAATGTTAGAATAAATTAATTTTCTTATAAGCAGGAACAGAGATTAAAAATGAACACAGGATCTATATTCTAATAACGCAATGCTACATAAACTAAAATAGGCAAAAAGAGGGTTAGGAAAAGTGGAACATTAAGAAGAAACCTGGCACTAGCTTTCAAACTCAAGACTACAGAATTACTACAAACTGCTTTTAATAAAAATACAGAGACACATATTACTGAAAACACTGCCAGAAGACACAATGTCAGCAGCTGATAAAGTAGAGGTATATAAAATATTCCCAGTTTGTGCCAAATACTTGATGGTTAACCTTCCAGGTCTTAGGACAGCAGGGAAGGGAGACAGAGAGAAATGTTTTTTTTTAAAAAAAAAGTCTTGCAATAACCATCATGATTCTGTTCATCTGATTAAGTAGCAGGATCAACTCACTCCATACGGTATGCATTGATTCCAAGGGCAGGCACTAAATGAGAATATAAACATTTTGCATAGAGGGAGGGAAAGAAGGAACAGTTGCAGGTAAGCAGATTTCTCAGAGATACTATCAAAGGCATCAAGGATCCCTCCTGACAGCTGAAGTGTGTTCAACAGGCTAGTGCAGTGTTTCCCAAAAACTAACCATCACCATACTGCCGGCCTCCAAGGATTTGAATTTTTAGCCTTGCAAATGGCGTATTACTAGGATTTGGAAGCAGATAACCCAGAATGACATGACTGGTCTAGTAGGATAGGATCTGCAACCTTAGATACTCTGAAATCTTTACTAGGGATGGGTGTAGAGTGTTTTGAAGTGACCCACCTAGTATGCACCTATAGGACACCTTGCTCTGCTGAAGCACTTACTGCAGCTGGCAGAGAGAAACAGAAATAATTTTGCCTGCTTTGTTTGATTCCATGCCTATTAGTGCTCATGGCAGAAACAACCCACAAGACACCAGAGGGTAACAATCCACTGTTTGGGAATCACTGTACTAGGGCAACCTAAGCAAGAACATTAAGACATCTGAAAAACAACAGTGTGTGAGAAAAGCACTAAAACATCAACTCCCTCTTGCATACAATGCAAAGAGTGCCAGTTAATCATATGAGATGAAAAAACAACACAATGTAGTTTGGCTACTAGAGACATGTCAGTACATGATTCTACTAGAATAACATGCTTCCGATTACAGCCGATAGTAAAGAGAGAATGGCAGCCAGAGAAGGAATACTGCTTTACCCAAGGGGAGTGCTTTTTGTTTTCTCTCTTTAGAAGAAGAAAACACAGTATTAGCAAACATTTTCTCTAAATATCTTTAACAAGACCAATACTAAAGTCTCTTGTTAAGACTGAAATTTGGCAAAGGAAGGGGAAAAAGTCATCTCAGTTTAGAAAACCACACAGAGGCTCAGTTCTATTTGTTATTTTCCAACCTATCAATAATATAAGGGAAGCTCGGTTGGATCAGACCACGGGTCAAAATAGCCTAGCATCCTGCAGCAATGCAATCCAAGCTGCAACATTTCGATAGGCCAAGGTTTTAAGTCACGTAAGCCACGTAGAATCGGAAACATTTTCTCAAATCATGTTAGCGGTATTAGGACATGCTAAAGCTGGACACTAAGCATCTGCATATCTTACCACTGAAATTAATCAAGTGAGTGTAGAAGAAAGACTCTCGGTGGAATTTTTCTATGTCCAATATGGTGGGCCCCTCAAGGCTACTTCTCAAGGTTTTCTTGGAACCACTTTTGTCAGCAATGAGGGACTCTAACATGGTTCTCACCATGTAAAGCTGCATTATTAAACAGAATATTTGTGACAGGCAGAAAAACACACATGGCACATTAATTGAGCATCACTGAAAATTACACTGCCAAAAGAAAGACCGCTCCACTTCCATTTGAAACCTGACAAGGAAGTTCAAAAGTCATTAACCCGAGGGAGAAAGAGAGGAAGAAGAAAGCCCCACAATTTGCACCAGAGTAGTTTGTGTCACCACATTATTTAAAAATAATAAGTAATGCCTTACCACCAAAGTTTAAAAGAGTGGGATAGATGTAGGACTGCCTCAGAAACTTGTTTATCACATGCAATAACTTTTCCATTCCCAGAGATCTGAGCTGCTTGAACAGCTCAGCAGAGTTTAAGGACTCTGCCATAGAGCGAACCATGTAGAGCTAAAAACCAACAGAGAAGGAAGAGGCAAAGGGGGAGAAGAGACACTCTGTTAATAAAAAACACACAAGGGTAATTAAAAGAAAAGGAAAAACACAAAACCAGGAAAATGTTCATTAGTTTAAGAGAGGACCAGCAAGACAGTAAAGACTGCTGAAAGAATCTGATCCACATTTAAGGTGGACAGATGTACTCTTTGGGGCAATTCATTTTGTTAACAGCTCCAAACATGTCTAGGAAGACAATGCCATTTTGAACTCTGTATCATGGCAAACAATAGAACAAACTTCAGATTTCTTCATAAAGCCCATCTTGGCAAAATTGACTGGGAGTCTGTTTTCGCAATTACAGTGATAACTGTGGTTAAGAGTGTTTTAAAACAGATACATCTGCGACACAGCAGTGCATTTTTAGGCTGCCATGCTTATGAGGCTCTTATCTCACACAAATTAAGAAGCAGTCAGATCTAGGAGAGGAAGAATTAAAGAAAGTAATGGATAAGTTGGCAATGGACAGTGAAAAAAAGCCCAAGGGGAAGAAAATGGGTGGCAGCTTAGATAACAAGCTAGAGGGCTACTTCACATACACTGAAGAAACAGGTTCCTCGGCCCCCTATCCACAAACACAATACAGTAACTTCCTCCCATCCCCCCCATTACAAACAGATTTAAAAATATTCTGTGCTTCAGAAAGTGTTTTCCTGTATGGCAGCTGCATCAGCCATTCAAGAACTCCAAGCCCCCATATCACAATGTTTTGTTTTGCTTTGTATGGCTGCTTTCAAATCAAAATCATGAGGCTTCCATTGAATAGCCAAATGAAATTCTATTGAATGCCAACAGGGTGAAAGACACCCTCCCCCAGAGGCACAGTAATGGGGCATCACCCATTGCACAAGCCATGATAGCTCTAAAAAGAAAATGCTTGTGCTTGCATGGCCCTGGGATGCCTGTGGCAAAGATGTCAAAGCACTCGTGCTACAGGCTCTAGAAATCAAGAAAGTGATATTAAATGAACAAGACAAAACAATAAGGATTCACATAATCCACCCCACTCTGGTCCACAAAATGCTTCTGGGTGTTGTTCAATAAACATGAATGACCAGGCCTTATTGTTGAAACGGTAAATATGGAGCTATACTCTGCAGAGTTCAAAAGGTAGACCTGATGCTATTCTTATGATATAGGGCATGTTTATTTGGGTTTCACGGGTAAAAAAAGCCAACAAAAGTTGTATCAAAAGAGTGTATAACAAAAACTTGTCAGTGCTGGCAGTGAACCACCACCAAACCTCAAAAAAAAATATACTTAGTACCTGAAAATATATAAACAGCAGGGAGGTAAACATAAACGCATCAGAAATACTGTGTAAGACACAGAAACACCTGCATGGAAGTCAAAAGCAGTGCAGGAAAATACTGTGTTTTGGTGGCAGTGGGGATAATCAGTGTAGCAAATTAAAGTGACAGTACCCCCTCCATGAGATTTTTGACTAATCCAGATTTACACAGGATTTATAGAAGTAATCTTTTTAAATGGTTTCATTCCACAGCAATTCCTGCATCAGGGACTGACACACATACCAGAATTGTATAAAGAGAGAGTTACCTGGGTACTGGAGGGACCCACTGCTCGCCTTGGAACTTTGACATCAAAGCCACTTTTGGGATCTTTCTCTCCCCTCAGTGCAGGATCATTAAATGGCTCGCGTCCACCCTCCCAATCGCATACTGTCTTCCTGATGGCCTGAAGAACACTAGCCATGATCCAATAAGATGTGTGAGCAAGAACCTTTGCGTAAAAACAACATGCATCCTAACACATGCTTTCTAATGGCCATTACTGTTCCAAACAGATGTCAAGTCATAATCAACCAATGGATTAACTAATGCAGTAGTTTCATCCATTCATAAATCCTTTGCCTGGAAGCCTCTATTTTTATGTATCTAAGAAACAGGCATTTCTTTTACATTTACTACCATATATTCTAAAGCCTCCTTTATGCATTCTATTTCCTTGAAGGGGCAAATGGGGCCATACCTATAGGTCCATCCCCATCACACTGCTCTGCAGCAGACTCAGAACCTATGTTGACATATTGACTGTGGCATCTGCATGGAAAAAACTACCTGTATAGACTGACACGTACGCTGTACAAAGCGACATGTATGTATGCAGCTTGTTGCCTACAGTGGGGCTCCAGCCATCTAGTTACGGTGAATGGTACCCCAATTTGGCCCCTGAGGCAGAAAATCTCTTAAGTGCCACCTCAACCCAACCCATATCCAGTAAGGATATAATAAAAAGAAATTAATCAATTAAAAAAAATTTTTTTAAAAAACTGAATGGAATAAGAAAATATTTGCTTCTACCTTTGGATGACATTCTTCTTCTTCTTGATAGCCTGCCTTAAGGGTTCTCTGAGTGTGATCTGGGCAAAGTCCTGGAGAGCAGCATAGATGGTATGGCGAATAGCATGATTGAAGACACTTTCCATCCTGCCCATCAACACCTGTAGTCCTTTAATCATTGCAATCACCTGCATGGGAAGGGGGGTATTTTAATTAAGAAACAAATTACAAGGACAGCCAGGCCCAGAAGGAAGGAGAACACCCTGAAGAAAGATTATTTCCTCTCTTACCTCAACAAGTGCAAACTTCTCTTCACTGGTATAATTGTATCGTGTTGCTCTCTCATACTCTTCTGCATTGTCTGGACAATCTTTGTTCGAGTATTTGTCAGTTGGATGCACCAGCTTCCATGAATACTGCAGATGACATACAAAATGAGAATGACACAAAATCAAACAGAGAAGTTGTAATAAGGCTAGCCATATACTACAAAAGTTGCATGAATGTTTGTACATTCTTGTCCTTAGGTAGCAACTGAGGGCGATTTCATTAGACCAACACAGGCTTATCCTAAAACAGGAAAATTAGTATTACAAATGATTAGAACATGTAATAATGATCTGTGCATGGAAGCAAACCTGTGAATCTTCAACTAACAAGGATACAGATGGATATATACACTCCTATGCTTATTCAGATGATGCCAGAGAACTGCCATCTTTTAACGCACATGCGGATTCATGTACCTCTTTCAAGTCATCAGGCTTTGTACATTACTAGTTACAAGTGACTCAACCTAGACTGGCATATAAATTCAGTGGATTACCACAAAGAGTATATTTTGTGAATGTATTACAGCTAATACATAACACATCTGCCAGCAGCTATGCACAAAGGCCACTTACTACATGTTACATATTATATGCGACATGTTCCTCTGGTGCAAACAGACACACATGATTCTGGGACTAGAATTTGCCAGTGGAGATCTGACTGGCTCCCTATCTGGGTCTTTTCAGGAATAAACTGAAAACCTGGCTATTTGGGCAGGCTTTCCCTCCTGCCGTAGGTTAATTTCTTATACTTTCGCCACCTTGGATCTATAATGTATGGGTTTTTTTGGTTTGTTTTATTGTTTTTAAATTTCTAAACCGCCCAGAGTAGACCATTGGTCTAGATGGGCAGGATAGAAATCCAATAAATAAATAGATAATAGAAATAGTTTCCAATAGTTACTACATGCTGATCATAATATAAGTATATGCTAATAGTCTTATTTTACAATGGCCAAAATCCAACAATAAGTTGCAAGTACAGTAGGCTCACTGAATCAGTGGTTGAAAAACTGTTGCTTAGCATAGTAGAGTGCATTAAAATAGGCTCACCAAATGAGTGGAGATTAGAAGGGTCACTTATTCAGCACATTACATTGATTCCAATGGGTCTACTCTAGTTGTTATTTACTATACTAAACTAAGTTGCAACTAGTGTATGCTCAATGAAACCTACAGAGGAATTAAATTATCAAATCCCCATTGACACAGCGGTCCTAATCCAGTGCACTTTATAAGATTAAGCAATAAGATTTCAGCCAGTGGGGATTTAGTGAGTCAACTGCCCTTTGGTTCCCAAGCAGGGCAGTACGGTGCTTGGTAAGAATAAACACCTCACTAAAAGGAGGCAAGAAAGGCATGAAGAAGAAAAGGGGCCAATGCTTTCTCAAAGAAGAACGGGTATAATGTCAAGGCCCCAGCAATGCTGAATATTCAAAAAAAACCTGAGAAGACATTAATCACCAGAATTCAGGGAACAAAAATGGCCTCTGACAAGCTCAAGGGCCATGTATTCAAAGTAAGTCTTGCTGATTTTCAAAACCAGTGGTTCCCAACCTTGGGTCCCCAGATGCTCTTGGATTGCAACTCCCAGAAACAATCGCCTAGGAAGTGGTGAAGGCTTCTGGGAATTTTAGCTCATGGTTGTAAACCACTATTCAAAACTATTAAGTTGCCTTCTGAAAATTCAAAGTGATCAGAGGATGTGTAAGAAAAAAGCTCCTGAAAAAGTTCCAGTAATTCAATTGCCTTACTGTAATTGTGACTTACTACTGGATTTCAGCCAACTTGAGTATTAGGATGGGGAAGCTGGGCAGAAAAATTCCATGCCAACATGTGTTGTAAAAAAATTTCCCCAAATGTGACATTTAGGAATATACTCCAGGTTAATGCTCTCAAGATTAGAAGGAACAATGTCTTTAAATTTCTGCATACAATACTCAGCCCATTTAAATAGGTCTGGAGACAATGCATCAGATGCTTCTTATTAATATACCACCTAAGGATTAGTGTCAAAACAAAAGAACACAAAGCAGTTCCTGGACGTTTCCTTCTTAGAAATTCCCAATTACTCTCTCCCACATACCACTTCCATAACATGTGCACTCCACTGAGACAGAAGCTGAAGACCCTGGAGAGAAAGATCAAATAGTTTTCGATACTCCGCATCTGTTTTCTGAGCTTCTTGACGGCCTGATCCAGTCACCACCTGCAACAAAAGGGAGCATGTTAAAATCTAATATTTTAGATATGTAGCATCAGCATCACCAGCCAACTGTTCTTATAGAGCAATCACTTTTCAGATGTTAAGCTTTTATAAAAATGCTCAGAGATCCAATTTCCATGTTAGCACATATCTAGGGATAGAAATTCCCTATACTGCAATTTCACACTGATCCAGTAGTATCTCAGGGAGAATTTCTTTCTTTCCACATCAATATCAACCTTCCACCTGACAATGTTTGCATTTGTTCCTGCCTCCAAGGTTCCTTCATCAATCTGAACAGAGTCATCCTGGTAAGGCACAAATATCTTATGATAAACATTTATATCAGCAACCTAACTGCCAAGTTAGGTACTAACTGCCAAGTCAGTTCTGATTTGGAAGACCTACCCCTTAATGAGAGAGTAAGAGGAGAAAATGGATAATGGTTGGAAATTTACAAAATATTCATATTGAAAAGTTTTCTGTGTTCCTTGCTGCATCTTATTTAGGACTGAGGTGGGACATAGAAAACTTACTGGAAATCTGACCACTGCAATCACATTAAATTCTCATTAATGCACAAAGAAAATTTTAGCCTAAACATTCCCACAAGTAGAAAAACTCATACCATTTTAAAATAGAACCCATCACCTTCCTAGAAATGTTTGTGGGATCTGTTAGAAATTAGAAACGTACAAACTAAAAATTTATAAGTAATGTTTTAAATTTGCTGTGCAGCGTGCAAATATTTTACTAAATCCAATGTATCCTCTAATTTTCAGCTCCTCCTCTCTCGTGCGCAACTTTTTCTCTGTGTGCACACGCGACTTCACACACCCCTGCGTGCTGGGTTCCGTCGCAATCAGAACTAACACAATCACTATGTGGTGGAGGAAGACAGCTGCACACAGGGAGGCAGAGGCCAGCACGCACACCCAGCTTAGTGGGAACTTAGAGTAAATCCATACAAGAGTAGGGTAACCTTAACTACACTGTGCAAGAAACAGTAGTATATTTCAAATTTAGATCTCTATTATAAAAAATAAGCTTCATAATAAAACTTGTCCTCATTTACTAACACACATACCTCACTGTTGCTGTAACGAGCCAGCTCTGAAATAAAGCGCATGTGGTCATCTCTTATCTGAATCATCTGTTCACAAATGTTGTACTGAGGGCTACTGCTGGAGGATGTACATGTCCATCTATGGTAAGAAGGGGAACCAAATACAAGATTAAATTATCAAGAAAAAGATGATGATTCTCATTTTCTGACTGTTGGTCTGTCAAGTAAGATGACAGGTAGGAAAGGCAACCTACTTGTATGCAGACACTGGTGGAAAAAGCATTATTATCACTGGCATTTTGTAAACCTAATGCAGAGTAATCAAGGAGCTAATACAGTTGCTGCCAATACCCTGCCCTGTAAGTCTAGGAAATTACACACATAACAGCATAAGAAGAGCCCTGTTGGATCAGGCCAAGGGCCCATCTAGTTCACTGGTTCTTAACCTTGGGTTACTCAGGAGTTTTGGACTGCAACTCCCAGAAGCCTTCACCACCAGCTGTCCTGACTGCGGTTTCTGGGAGTTGCAGTTCAAAAGCATCCGAGTAACAAAGGTTAAGAATCACTGATCTAGTTCAGCTTCCTGTATCTCACAGTGGCCCCACCAGATGCCTCTGGGAGCACATGAGACGAGATACCTGTCTCCTCCGATACCCCTCCCCTGCATCTCGCATTTTGAAGTAATGATGTAGACCCAGTGGATGGTTTAGGAGCAACATGTATTTGTTTGTTTTATTTCTAGGCCATCTTTCTCCTGATAAGCAGACATGTGTTACATTAATTACATCCTGCTTTTCTTTCAGTAAGACCCAGGCAGAAAAGATGCCCTTCCTCCTCCGTTTTATCTTTGTAACACAACTTTGTGACAGACATCAGAATGATCAAGACTTACTGGCCCAAGGTCACCCATTGAATTTCAAGGCTGCCGGGGGGGGGGTGGAGTGGCGAGAGCAGAACCTAGATATCACAAATCCCAATGCACTACTCTTAGCACTTGAGCGTAAGTGCAGCCACCTGGGAGCTGACCCGAAATGAACCTAGGATAAGGGACTGAAGGATGATTAGGATGAAGTGTAAAAGATAATTAAAGACAGGGGAAAATAGATGTGAGCCATGTTGTAAATTTATTCATTAGTCAGAAGCTGCACTCGATGAGGCACAATGGAGCAGGAAAATTAACAAGATGATAACTTGATGTAATTTACAAGTCACCAATTAAAAGGGAAAAGAAAAGGGAGGGGGAGAGGGTTGATTACAGACTTCCCAATGGATGAAACTCCTATGTCTATCCATCAACCAAATGGCATCCCTTTTCAGAGACAATTCTCTGTCTACACTATGGTCTTCCATATCTCCACTGATTTATCCTAAGGGGTTGGGGATCTTCTAGAGTAGGGGGACCCAACCCCTGGTCTGCAGCCCAGTGCCGGTCCATCGGCTTCGCAGGACAGGGCTGCAGAGGCAGATCTCCCACCCCCATATGCACGTATGCTGAGTGTGGCACATTTGCGGCATGCACGGGGTGGTCAGGCACGTTTGCGGGTGGGTGTGGCACATTTGCGAGCATGTGTGCGCACCCCACTCACCTGCAAGCATGCCACACCCACCCATGCATGCATGCATGCAAGCGTGCAATGCTACCCCACGAGCATGCTATGCCCATCTGCGAACATGCCGGGCCCACCCAAGAGCGTGGGTAATGCCCCCATATCCCCAACGGGTCCACAGTTCCGAAAAAGTTGGGGACCATTGCTCTAGAGCATATGTGGTGGGCTGTGTAGTGGGAGGAAAATATATGAGCCTTCTCTTTTGCAAGAAGAATCCAGCATTGGATTCTGCCCATTTTTTCCAACCACTTTTCTTCTTACATGCTGCTTATATAATCTCCAAGCATTAAATTGTCTTACAGCACTATTCAACAACACACAATGTTGAGAAGGTTTGAAACACAGCAAGAGAGGAATCAAAAATTCTATTCATCCTTGTACTTTAGGAGGCAGCATGTTCCAGACAATGTGGTGTGCTGCAACCTTCTACAAGTTATTGAAAATAAATTAATATGCCATTAATCCCTGATATACAATAGATGCCCACCTGCCCTTATAGACTCCAGCTCTATCAATTTCCTTGATTTCAAAAAACAAGCTTAGGTCTGTATTTGCAGTTTGTGGCGAACATTTAAGGCTTCAAGCCTAAGCATATTTCCTGCAACACTTGGCCCACTGAGTTCGTGAAATTAACTTCCAGGCAAGCTTGTATAATATGCCGTTTTTTAAAACAGCAGTCTTTCTAAACAGAGCTGTTTGTGCCAGTGTTTGATTATTTAAACATTACTGTTCTGCAAGCTCAAGGTGGTCTTCCACATGCTACTGGACTACAGTTCCCATCATTCCATATACCTGGGGCTGAGAAGAGTTAGAATCATGCAATAAATGAATTTGTGCAATAGCCACAAATTGCTAATCCAGGTACTAGGCAATGCAAGAAATAAACCTTCCATGTCCCAAGCAAAACATTTATAATGTTGACACACACATCTGAAGAATGAGTATTTAAGTGAATAAGGAAAAAGATTTTCAGAGCCACCAATTTACCCTTGTAAAAATACAAGGGTTTGCATGTGTCTTCGCTCTTACCTGGATTTGTTTTCCTCATAGTGAGCACTAGTTTTAATATATCTTGCCAGCTCAATTTGCATATCACCAAACAATGGAACGACTTGCAGCTGCTGTGATCCAGGAGAAAAGAAATGTAAGCAAAGTCTCACATGCATTCCATGCCTCCCCCCCACAGCTTTGTTCAGCAAATATGTAAGATAATAACTTTCCAACTTCTGCAAGAAAGCCCCACAAAGTCTAATTCAAGTGCAACATATCAAGTCTACATGTAACTGGGGGGAGGGGTATGGCTGACTTTTAAAAATATCAAAGTAAAGCTGTGCTCCAATAGTAGAAAGGTGAACTGCTCAATCTCCTAAAAGTAAGGCTGCAAAGCAGGAACAGCTTAGTGCCACAGTTGGGTTAGCCAGACTTCTACTCTCCCCACACTGAAATAGTATCACAAAGACAGAATTCTGATTCTAAACATAGCTTTGAAGAGTTGTTGTTTTGGACAACATAGCCAAAATTGGCCATGCCAGGTGATTCTGGGAAATGTAGTAAAAAAAAAAAGCACTCTTCCAAGCCTTGCTCCTGAAATACTAAGATGATTAAAATTAAAAACAATCTGTAACAACATTTCACACAAAAACACTAGCAAAATGTCATTTTGTTAGCAAAATGGGATGTCCCTAGAATGAGAACATCTACAGAGACCACATGAAATGCAGGACACAGTTCCTCTATCTTTAATAGCTGAGAAGAGGAAATGTCAGCAGGTGAAGCTTGAGTGAAAAGCATCAACTGTTGAAACTTCCTATTTTACAAATGCCTCCAGTTTCACGTCACCATCCTAGTGAAGTCACTGCTTCCTGGCAGTACTCCTGCTGTATAAACCTTTCTCTGGCTTGAAGACCAGGTCTAAAACAACACCAGGGAAAGCTGCCACCCAGAAAAGACTCTTAAGTTTCAAACATCATATATTTTAACCATGCTTTAAATTATTTTGGAATTATCTTGAGAACAATTCTAGGGAATATGTGATCTTCCAAATGTTGCTGAACTAAATATATCATCAGTCCTAGCTAGGACAGACACTGTAACTGTTGGTGGGAATTGAAATTCAGCAGTATCTGAAGCATCATGTAGTCCACATTAGGCCTGTAGAAGTTGTGGATGCCCAGTCAACCAGGTATCCTGAATCATTTGACGTCAGTTACCCAAAAACATTCTTCCATTTCTGTCCACAGCTGATGCTTAAAAAACTGATGGTTCAACTAAAATTTAAATCAGTGGTTCTTAACCTTTGTTACTCGGATGTTTTTGAACTGCAACTCCCAGAAACCCCAGCCAACACAGTTGGTGGTGAAGGCTTCTGGGAGTTGCAGTACAAAACTCCTGAGTAACCCAAGGTTAAGAACCAGTGAGTTAAATGATATATCCTTAAAAAATTTTAAGGCCTAAATTAAACATAATCACTCATTTAAAAAGATATATTGTCCTCTTCACCAACCTTAAAAAACTTGTCAATCTTGGTTAGATTTATCCTTTTCTTGGCATCCAGCTTATAGATGTTACTGACACTGCCATCCATCAGATACAAGCCAAATCCCATTACCTTTAAAGAAAAAATAAAAGAATAACATTAAAAAAACACTCCAAGTCAGATTTATTTATTTATTCACTTGTGTACTTCAAACATTTTTACCTTGTATTTTAAGCCTCCAAATTTTTTCCCAAGCAGCACAGAGAGCTCATTAATAAGGAAATTCCTACTCTTTAGGTATACTTCCCAAAAGACGTGGCATACAAAGAAAAGGGACTGGGAGCTAAGAGCAAACTCCTGCACTATTTCTTAATTACAAAGTTCTTGCAGGTCATGTTATTTCTAGCAAGGAAGGGAAAAGCAAGACCCTTTTCTGCACAATTAAATCCCCCTGCTGACTCACTCATTGAACAGAAGTCTACCTATCAGTGCCTCCTTTCTTACATCAAAACAATGCACAGCATCGGAAAATATAACAATTCAGCAAGCCCAGCCACACATGAATGCAACACCAAGATTGGGACTGACATCCTCAGTCCCTGGCCAGTCATTTGTACAGAAGACACCTTTTGGTCTCCCAAAAATGACATATCAAAGAGAGCCAGTGCAAACCACGTGGTAGTCAGCAGATAAAAATATTCATAATCACTGTAGCTAACAGGTCAAGTCAGAAGTATCTCTGCAGAAAGCTCTATAGGTGCAAACTGTTTCCTTCAAATGGTACATCCTTAAATTACTTTTGAAACTTGAAAAAAAGAGAGAGAACATTCTCTGACTGCAGAAAATAAGTGTGCTCTCAAAACACTGTGATGAGCTTCCATACTCCTAGTACTTAATTTACCGTATTTTTTGCTCCATAAGACACACTTCCCCCCCCAAAAAAAGTGGGGGGGAGTCTGTGTGTCTTATGGAGCGAAGGTGGCGATTTCGCCTCCACTGGACCCATGGGGGGGAGCCTCCCAAGGGAGCCTTCCAGGACCCTTGCGATACTCCCCCATCCCCCCACAGGGACAGCGGGGGCGAAATAGTGACCGTTCAGGACCTTTTGTGAGGCTTTCAAGCCTCATAAAAGGTCCTGGAAGGTCGTGATTTCGCCCCTGCTGGCCCCATAGGGGTGTGTGGGGGAACACCGCAAGGGTCCTGGAAGGCTCACTCAGACCCTTGTGACGCTCCCCCCACTCCCCCATGGGGCCAGCGTGGACGAAATCGCCACCTTCTAGGACTCTTTTGAGGCTTGGGAAGCTTCAGAAGAGTCCCTGAAGGTGATGATTTCGCTCCCTCTGGCCCCGCGGGGGGATGGAGGGAGCCTCCCAAGGGTCCGAGTCTGCCTTCAGGAATTCTTGGGAGGCTTCCCCCAGGCCGCCATGGGGCCAGCGGGGGCAAAATCACCACTTTCTGGGTCTCTTTTGAGGCTTGGGAAGCTTCAGAAGAATCCCTGAAGGTGTCGATTTCACCCCCCTCTGACCCCCAGGGGGGCAGGGTGAGTCTTTAAACTGTCCTGGAACACACCCTAGAACCCTTTGGAGGCTCATCCTGCCCCCCCTGCTGGGCCAGAGGGGGCAAAATGCCATCTTCTGGGACTCTTTTGAGGCTTGGGAAGCTTCATAAGAGTCCCTGAAGGTGGTGATAGGTGGTGGTTGCGCCCCCTCTGGCCTCGGGGGGGGGGGCTGGCTGAGCCTCCAAAGGGTCCTAGGGTGTGTTCCAGGACAGAAAGGGTTATTCCTTCTGCGGTAGCTCCTTATCCTGAAAGTGGCCACCAAGAATGTCCTTTCTTGTAGGGTGCTTCCAGAAATAATTATAACATTTATACTCACTAAAAGCCATAAAAGCATCCACACAGATTTTCCAAACATACAGTAATATGCTAAAAATAAGCTAAATAGGCAAATAAAAAGAATAGGTACAATATGTTCTGTGATCCTTAAGAACATTCCAGCCAATTTCACCTCCTGTGATAAAAAGCGGCAAGCAACTGAGTGACAAACAGCCCAATTACTTAAAGGTATGTGACTTTGATATGAAAGCTGTTAAATTAGCTTTCCTATGCAGTCTGTAATTTTTATTTTTAAAGAGACATATAGCCATTCTATTCAACACTGCAAAAATTACTATATTCATTTAGTTAAAAGCCGATGTAATGAACGGATGTTGAGCAATTTGTTTCGATTCAGCATTGCAACTGGTAGACTTGCTTCTGCATCTCTATTATGTATTACAACGCACTATCACAAAATTGTATGAACTCCTTTTCAGCTTTTTCTCTCACTTCCTCAAAAAAATTACTTCTCTGCCATGTGCAACCAAAGGAGACCATGAAGAAAAGCTGCACAAACAAAAGAGAGGCTTCAAATGCCAATTAGTCCGTGTTATTTGGCAACAAAGCTTTAAGATTTCAAGAGTATTTGTAACATTAATCCAAAAATGTTTTTTTCTTATAACATCCATATGTTTGTAACAGGTATTTCTTACTTTCAGGAGCATATGCTTCTCACTTGGTGTAAGATACATTTTGTTTTCATAGTAGTCTACACATAAATTCACAATGTCTGCAAGCAGCTCTTCATAGCCAGAAATAACCTCAAGCTGTTGCTGTAAAGACTAAAACAAAGAACAATTAAAATGTTAAATATACGACAATACAGAACACAAGAATCAAGAAGGATTATTTGCAGTGTTCACATGTTGAATGTGCAAGTACAGAAAACTTTTTATACTATTGTTGAACACAAAACTGCTAAGCTATACATGAAAAAATTAACAAACATCGTACATACTACAATAAAAACATACCTGAGTAATCTTGTTATGGTTGGCAAGAAACATGGACAGGTTCTGGGACTCCTGGATAGACTGAGGGTCTGCCATTTTACGCAAAAACTGGGCAGCCCTGTCAAAAAAAGAGAAGAGATTGGGGGGGGGGAAGTTAAAATTCTGCTGGAACAATACACAGTATGTGCCTAAAGGTGTCTGCCTTAACCTGCTAGTCCCCAAATATTTTGCAGCACAACTCCCGTTATTCTTAGTCAGAAGGCCACACTGGCTAAGAAGAGTGCCACATCTAAAGGTTACCATTTAAGGTTAGATGACTGAGTTAAGGACAGATGCTAATTGAACGGAACAGAAAACTATCCACCTTTTCAAGACATTCGGTTGCTGGGGATAGACAGCACAGACATACTGTGAGAGTTCTAAAGGTGGCTCTCCTTTTTCTCCAAATAAATTAGCAGACTTATGAGGTTTAGAAATAGGAGTAACATTTATTGTAGTATTCAACAGAAAAACCAGGACAGTGGTGCCTCGCTTAACTGGCACCCCGTTTAACGACGAATCCGTATACCGATGAAGATTTTGCGATCACTTTTGCAATCGCATTGCGATCGCATTGAGATGTTCTCAGGGGTGGCTCCCCCAGCTGACCGGCCTGGGCAGGTGTTCCCGGCCCTCTTCCCAGCAGCGGCGGCGGAGACGGGGGTGAGGGGTGGCTGGGGGAGAGCTGGGAGGCAGGGCAAAGCCCGGGTGTTCCAGCGGCCCTCCTCCCAGCGGCGGCGGCAGAGACAGGGGTGAGGGGTGTGTCTCCACAGGGCTGGGTGGGAGGTCTGTCTTTGCGCCAGGTGGCGGTGGCGACGGGGTGCGGGTGGGAGCCAGGAGAAAGAGCAAGCCCCAGCTCCTCTCCTCCCGGCATCTGTAGCGGCGACGGGGTGGGGGTGCTCTCCTCCTGAGCCGTCGTTCGCCCGCCGCCCAAGGACGCCCGGTATCTCCCGGGCTGGCTGGTTGGCTGGCTGGCGAGTGAGCGAGCGAGGGCC